GATGCTTCCTGCAACAAATCATCCTGCTGATGGCAAGGTCTGATCCCGCACAAGGTGCCCAGGCAGCCTGGTCACTGGGCATGGGGTGGGATGGCAAAATCTCCTTCTCTTCTCTTCTCTTCTCTTCTCTTCTCTTCTCTTCTCTTCTCTTCTCTTCTCTTCTCTTCTCTTCTCTTCTCTTCTCTTCTCTTCTCTTCTCTTCTCTTCTCTTCTCTTCTCTTCTCTTCTCTTCTCTTCTCTTCTCTTCTCTTCTCTTCTCTTCTCTTCTCTTCTCTTCTCTTCTCTTCTCTTCTCTTCTCTTCTCTTCTCTTCTCTTCTCTTCTCTTCTCTTCTCTTCTCTTCTCTTCTCTTCTCTTCTCTTCTCTTCTCTTCTCTTCTCTTCTCTTCTCTTCTCTTCTCTTCTCTTCTCTTCTCTTCTCTTCTCTTCTCTTCTCTTCTCTTCTCTTCTCTTCTCTTCTCTTCTCTTCTCTTCTCTTCTCTTCTCTTCTCTTCTCTTCTCTTCTCTTCTCTTCTCTTCTCTTCTCTTCTCTTCTCTTCTCTTCTCTTCTCTTCTCTTCTCTTCTCTTCTCTTCTCTTCTCTTCTCTTCTCTTCTCTTCTCTTCTCTTCTCTTCTCTTCTCTTCTCTTCTCTTCTCTTCTCTTCTCTTCTCTTCTCTTCTCTTCTCTTCTCTTCTCTTCTCTTCTCTTCTCTTCTCTTCTCTTCTCTTCTCTTCTCTTCTCTTCTCTTCTCTTCTCTTCTCTTCTCTTCTCTTCTCTTCTCTTCTCTTCTCTTCTCTTCTCTTCTCTTCTCTTCTCTTCTCTTCTCTTCTCTTCTCTTCTCTTCTCTTCTCTTCTCTTCTCTTCTCTTCTCTTCTCTTCTCTTCTCTTCTCTTCTCTTCTCTTCTCTTCTCTTCTCTTCTCTTCTCTTCTCTTCTCTTCTCTTCTCTTCTCTTCTCTTCTCTTCTCTTCTCTTCTCTTCTCTTCTCTTCTCTTCTCTTCTCTTCTCTTCTCTTCTCTTCTCTTCTCTTCTCTTCTCTTCTCTTCTCTTCTCTTCTCTTCTCTTCTCTTCTCTTCTCTTCTCTTCTCTTCTCTTCTCTTCTCTTCTCTTCTCTTCTCTTCTCTTCTCTTCTCTTCTCTTCTCTTCTCTTCTCTTCTCTTCTCTTCTCTTCTCTTCTCTTCTCTTCTCTTCTCTTCTCTTCTCTTCTCTTCTCTTCTCTTCTCTTCTCTTCTCTTCTCTTCTCTTCTCTTCTCTTCTCTTCTCTTCTCTTCTCTTCTCTTCTCTTCTCTTCTCTTCTCTTCTCTTCTCTTCTCTTCTCTTCTCTTCTCTTCTCTTCTCTTCTCTTCTCTTCTCTTCTCTTCTCTTCTCTTCTCTTCTCTTCTCTTCTCTTCTCTTCTCTTCTCTTCTCTTCTCTTCTCTTCTCTTCTCTTCTCTTCTCTTCTCTTCTCTTCTCTTCTCTTCTCTTCTCTTCTCTTCTCTTCTCTTCTCTTCTCTTCTCTTCTCTTCTCTTCTCTTCTCTTCTCTTCTCTTCTCTTCTCTTCTCTCCTCTCCTCTCCTCTCCTCTCCTCTCCTCTCCTCTCCTCTCTCCTCTTCTCGTCTTGTGACCACTTTGCATCTCACCCACTGGCCTTCAGCCAGACCATCACCCCCTCCTCTTCTGCTTTAACAATCACCACCATGGCCAAATTGTGTTACTGAGCACCCCCAGCCCACACTGAGCAGCTCAGCGTGTGCCCACGGTTCTCATCAGAGCTCAGCGGCACCACAGGGATGGACCTCTTGTGTTGGGAGAACGTTGCATTGCGTGATGATGCCCAAGAGTTGGGAGCATCCCAGCCTGGGTACAGCCTTGCAGGACATTTTCCTGTCTCCTGGTGGCACTCCGGGCAAGAGGCAGCTTTTGCCACAGTGGGGGCTGGCTCGATTCCCAAGGGACTTGACCAAAGGGACAGGACGCGACTGTCCCTGTCCATGGCAGGGGTGTTGGAACTTGATCTTTGAGGTCCCTTCCAACCCAAACCATTCTATGATTCTATGACATGTCCCTGTGCCATGTCCTCCCTCCACCTCTTCCCAGTACCTTTCACCCCGGCCCATCTCCAGGAGGGATTAGGGTTTATTTCTGCCCTACCCTCTGATATCCCATTAGGGGCATTAAAATAGGAGCCGGTGGCCCCGAGGACCTTCCATGTGACTGCAAGAGCTTTTTTGAGACCACGCTAAGCCTCCCGGAACCGGTCCCTGCTTAGAGAGGGAAATCCCTGCTCTCCGGGTGGGGGGACGGGGTTTATGCAACATTATTTGCCCACCACAGGGGTGGATTTATACCCCGGGAGACCTGGGATTTATACCCCATGGCTCTGCTCGGCACAGGGTGGGCACTGGTACCTGGGAGCCCAGGGGGACAGGGGACAGCCTGCTGGGCTCCCCGGGACAGTGATGCTACATCCCAGGAGTGCTCAGGATTCCCCGTGACACCCTCCCAGGGGTTTGCTCCCCTCCAGCAGCTTTTCTGTCTGTGCCAGCATGGAAATCCTGATCCCTCTGCATGGCTTTTCAGGGCACTGGGTGAGCGTACCGGGGGGGTATCCCCTGCCCGTGTCCCGGCCACCCCATCCCCAGGGTCCCTGGAGATGTGGGAAGGAGACGGGCAGGATCCAGCCTGGACTTGAAGGTTGGTTCTTGCCCAGTTCTCCAGCACCTGAGCCAGCTGGGGGAGCAGGTCCCATCCAGCCCCACAGGGCTCCTTCCTGCTGGGGTGTGCAAAGAACCAGTCTGTGTGTGTGTGCACGTGTGTGTACACACGTGTGCATTCACGCCTATATGCATCTGTGCCTGCCCACCTGCATGGCTGCCTCTGTGCATCTGCTGTGCCTGGAAAAGAAATCATATGAGGAGTGGTTGAAGGAGCTGGGACTGTTTAGTTTGAGGAAGAGGAGGCTGAGGGGAGACCTCATCACTCTCTACAACTACTTGAAAGGACACTGTAGAGAGGTTGGTGCTGGTCTCTTCTCACAGGTAATTAGTGACAGAACGAGAGGGAACGGCTTCAAGCTCCAACAGGGTGGGTTTAGATTGAACATTAGGAAGGAATTTTTCACCCAAAGAGTGGTCGGGCGTTGGAACAGGCTGCCCAGGGAGGGGGTGGAGTCCCCATCCCTGGCTGTGTTTAAGGGCCGTTTAGATGCAGTGCTGAGGGACATGGTGTAGGGGAGGACTTTGTAGAGTAGGGGAGATGGTTGGACTCAATGATCCCAAGGGTCTCTTCCAGCCTAGACCATTTTATGATTCTATGATTCTATGTGTGGCTGCATGTGTGAATGCATGACTCTACGCACAGGCGTGTGAACAGGAGTGTGTGCACACGTGTGCATGTGCCTGCTTGTGCACACTCATGCGTCCACACCATCATGTCCAGAGAAGGGCAATGAAGCTGGTGAGGGGTCTGGAGAGTAAGTCTGATGAGGAGAGGCTGAGGGAGCTGGGGGTGTTCAGCCTGGAGAAAAGGAGGCTGAGGGGAGACCTTCTGGCTCTCTCCAACTCCCTGAAAGGAGGGTGTAGCCAGGGGGGGGTCGGTCTCTGCTCCCCAGGAACAGGTGATGGGACAAGAGGAAATGGCCTCAAGTTGCACCAGGGGAGGTTCAGATTGAAGACTGAGAAAAATTTCTTCACGGAAAGGGTTCTCAGCCATTGGAATGGGCTGCCCAGGGAAGGGGTTGAGGCCCCATCCCTGGAGGTGTTCAAAAGACGGGTTGATGTGGTCCTCAGGAATATGGTTGAGTGATGTGGTTTTTTGGTTTTGTGGTGTGTTTTTTTGGGTTTTTTTTTTGGTTGGTTGGATTTTTTCGTTTTTGTTTTTGTTTTTGTTTTTGTCAGAGTTAGGTTGATGGTTGGACTAGATGATCTTTAAGGTCCCTTCCAACCCAGATGATTCTATGATTTTCTGTGTGCCAGGCGTGTGAGCCCTGGCTCACCCCAGCCCCTGTTCCCAAGGGGTTCCCTGGGTGACACGGTGGGTGCTCGTGCCCTCATGGATGCCACACGCCACCTGCCCGTGTCCTGGTGCCAGGAGCAGGGGCTGTGGGGCCAAGGGCTCCCATGGGGCGAGCAGACATCGCTGTGGGGCACTCAGTGCCAGACCAGGGATGTGAACTTGAACGTGTAGCGTGTGGTGAGAAACTCTGTCACCAGGAGGTGACACAGCTCTGGCACTAACGGGAGCTGGCAGGAGCCTTTGTCTGACGTGGGGTTGCACAAGCGTGCTGGCGTGCATACAGGGCACACGGCATGCACACGTGTGTGCCAGAGGGTGCTACAATGCAGCATGCCTGCACACACGTGTGTGAGAGGGTGCCACACATGCACACTCACATGCCAGGGACTGCCATGGGACAGTATGCGTGCACACACATGTGCCATGGGACACCACGTATGCACAGAGGTGTGCCAGGGGGTGTCATGCGTGCACACACATGTGCCATGGGACACCACGTATGCACAGAGGTGTGCCAGGGGGTGTCATGCGTGCACACACGTGTGCCATGGGACACCACGCATGGACACTCATGTGCCAGGGGATGCCGTGCCTTCACACACACGTGCTACAATGCACCACGTATGCCCATACGTGTGCCAGGGGACATCATGCATGCATGTGTGCAGCAGAGGGCACCACGCATGCGCACCCTGGGGCTCCGCTCCCGCTGCACGTACACGTGCACTCACACACCACAGCCCAGCCAGGGAGGGTGCACAGAAACGTGCACACACGTGTACCAATGCACACACGTGTGCCAGTGCACACGCCAATGCATGCAGCTCCAGATGCCATAGGTGTGCACTTGTGCACACACACACACACAGGGAGCATCCTGCCTCTGCTGTGTCTTCTTCTGTCCTTGTCACACACCCGGGCCTCGCTCCGTGCCTCAGTTTCCCCACCTGAAAAGGGCCTGGGTCCTGCCCCCCACGCAGCGGCTGCCCAGTGACTAATTACCTCTGGGTTAATCATTGATTTCTCCTCCCCGCACACAGCCAGGGTCACCCGTCCCGCTCAACACAACCCCTGCGCCCAAGGACTTGGGGACCTTGGCTTGTCCTCCACCGGAGAGTGATTCCCAGGGGGACACTGGTGAGTTCATGCCCCCCCCCCAGCAGGACAAACTCCCCCTGCCACCTGCTTGGGGACACCAGTCCCACCATTGCCACCAGCGCCCAGCCTGGAGGGGACAGGGCTGCTTGGGTGATGGCTTGGGGGGGGTCCCTGTGCCCTGTGAGCGGGTGGAGGGGGCTTGGGGAGGGTGGAGGCCACCCCTGTCCCTGCCAGGTCCTGTGCCACCCCAGTGCCACCCCCCCAGACCCTTCTGTAAATGTCCGAAATATTTCCCAGCACTGAGCAAACATCCCAGTAAGGTCCCACAGCCATGTGCACCGTGGCTGGATCCACACCAGTGGGACCTGCACGGTGCTGGGGACATCCCAGGAGAGCCCCCTGCCCACCCCAGGGGACCCCAGCATCCCCAATCCCTGTCCTGGCTCAGCAAGAGGGACATGGTGGGGTCGCCAGGTTGGGGACAACATGTCCTTGTCCCCTGGCACTGCAGCTGGCCCTGCTGTGCCCACTCAGCCTCCCTGGCTGTCCCACCTCCATCTCCTGTTCTCCATCCATCCCTCCTCCTGCCTGCCCACCATGGACAGGGGGGTGTCCCTGACCTTCACAGCCTACATCTGTGTAGCCCCCCTGGGTGCTGTGGGTGCCCTGCCTGGGGACACGGACTCTCCCACCCCTGGGCTTGTCCCTCTCTCCCTCCTTCCCACCCCATTGGCGCCAGCCCCAGGAGCCATCTCTGACCCCGTGCTCTGCCTCCCCCCAGGTCGGAGCCAGAGGGGACCAAGCCCAGAGCTCCCATCTCCCGTGGGGTCCCTCGCTGCCTGGGAGACGTTGGGAGGGGGAACCACCAGCCCAGGGAGTGGAGCAGGACCCTGGGCACGGGGGAGACGCAGCGCCAGGCCAGGCTGGAGGGTGCCCGGTAAGGCTGCTTGGCATGGGGGGTGCTGGTGGGACCCCCGAGGAACCCCCGTCCTCCATGGGGCTGTGACCAGTGGGAATCAGAGCACCCAAAGGTGCTGGGTTGAAAGCAGCCCTGAGGAGAAGGCCTTGGGGGTGTTGGGGGGTGAGAAGCTCCACACGCCCCTCAACGTGCGCTGGAGCCCAGAACCCCCCCCACCCCGGGCTGCATCCCCAGCCCCGTGGGCAGCAGGGCCAGGGGGGGATTCTGCCCCTCTGCTCCGCTCTGGGGAGACACCCCCCAGTGCTGCCTCCAGCTCTGGGGCCACCACCAGCAGAAGGACATGGAGCTGGTGGAGCGGGGCCAGAGGAGGCCCCGGAGATGCTGGGAGGGCTGGAGCCCCTCTGCTGGGAGGGGGGGCTGAGAGAGTTGGGGGGTTCAGCCTGGAGAAGAGAAGGCTCCGGGGAGACCTTGGAGCCCCTTCCAGTCCCTCAAGGGGCTCCAGGAGAGATGGGGAGGGACTCTGGATGAGGGAGGGGAGCCATAGGAGGAGGGGGAAGGGTTTGACCCTGAAAGAGGGGAGATGGAGCTGAGATGTGGGGAAGAACTTGTTTGGTGTGAGGGTGGTGAGAGCCTGGCCCAGGTTGCCCAGAGAAGCTGTGGCTGCCCCATCCCTGGAGGGGTTCAAGGGCAGGTTGGAAGGGGCTTGGAGCAACCTGGTGTGGTGGGAGGTGTCCCTGTCCTGGGCAGGGAGTGGCACTGGGTGGGCTTTAAGGTTCCTTCCAACCCAAACCATTCCATGATGCTGAGAACCCTGCATACAGGGCAGTCCCATGGGTAGGGTGGCACCTGGTGACATCAGGTCTCACTCCTGCAGGGTGGGCAGAGGGCTCAGCCCTGCTCTGGGGGCAGCTGCAGGAAGTAGAAACATAAAGAAAATGCAAAGAAAACACCACCAAGGGGTCCTGCCCGCTCTCAACCAGAGCATCCTGCCAGGAGCAGAGCAGGGTCCCCTTCTCCCTCCGTGCTCCCAGGGGCTGACGGGGAGGGGACCGTGTCTCTGCAGGGTTAGCATGACCGAGGTGGAACCCGTGCTGGACTTCGCATCCTCCGGGAGAACGGGCCGGCGCAATGCCCTGCCCGACATCCTGGGCTCTCCGGCCGGCGTCAGCCCCTCCGACCTGCCCCTCAAACTGGCCGAGATGTCCCTGAACGCAGGTGGGTGACGGGGGAGGATGGACAAGGATGGGTGGGCAGGAGAGAAGACTCCTCACCCCATGTTCTCTCCCGACAGGCAGCGCCCAGGAGATGCAGTCGCCCTCGGCGGAGGTGCCCCCTCCGCAGCCCCCCAGCCCCGAGCTGAAGGACACGTCCTAACCCCCCTTCCCAGCCCTGGGGGGGGACATTGCTGACCAGCGGAGGAAAGAGGAGGCTGCGGAGCATCAGCCCGGCTTTCCTGGCACGGCCGGAGTCCGCTGGGTTTTCCCTGTGCCACCGCGGCGAGACCACCGGGCGTCATCCCCCCCGCCGTGGGGGGAGCACCGCGTGGCGGGGACCCGCCGTGACCAAGGGGGTGACCCCCACCCGTGCCCTGGGCCAGGACCTGGGGAAGGGGGGTGGGTGTGTGTGATTTTTATTTTTGTTTTGCCTCCCCCGGGTGTGTGTCGGGGGAGGGGGGAGGACTGGTTTTTTCTTCTTCTGGGGCATTTGGCAGAGCCGAGCGCAGGGGGT